CTATTATTCTTAAGTATTTAAATAATACTCTACTATATCTAGTTATCTAGTACTCTAGCGAAGTGTTTAGCTAACGCGTAAGCTAACAGCTTATCTACGTTAAAGTTAAGCAAGTTATCTTCTATATTCTAATTCTTTATTAGAGAGCTTATTTCTATATATACTTACTTCTTGTGTAAGGCTTCTTAATTAGTATTCTTTTTTTTAATTACTTTAGTCTAGTAGCTAAGCTTCTTATAAGCTTCTACGTTATAGCTTACTCTTTTATAGTAAAGACTAGTAAAGCTTTTGTAGCTTATTACTATATAAAGCTTTTATAGCTTACTCTTAAAAGTAAAGCTTATCTAAATAGCTTTTAATTGCTATTGTAGTTGCAACTTTTAGTAGTTTTTTTAACTTTACGCTCGCGATCTTATACTAGTTAGTACTTTAACTTAGTATTGCAGCTTATACCTTATTTAATAAAAGACTAATAAGACTTCTAATAACAGCTCGCTTCTTAGCTGCAATTTAGCTATTGCGTAGAGTTATTACCTATTTCTTAAACTTTAGAAGACTAATAAAGCTTTAATTACAATTACTTACTTTCCTATAAAAGTCTTTTGCAAATAGCAAGACTTATACTTCTATACTATTAAAGTATTGTGTAAGGCTTTTACTAAATAGTACTCTGCGCGCAACTAAGATCTACTAGCTACACTATACACGTTTACTGCTAGACGTTACGCAAAGCTAGTAGCGCGTTAACTAAGCGTTTTACAAAGCTGCAGTTTTAAGCTAGTAATTTTATAATAGCTTATACTTAGTTATTATCTAAAGGCCTTTTGTGCTTTTATATAACACTAATCTTATATAGTAGATTAACTTACTTGTACGTAATAGAAGAGGTAGTTAAGAAGCTTAACGCGCATTGCGTTAACAGAGTCTTAAAGCAAGGCTTTGTTAATTAAGATTAAATACAAAATGTAAAAGGCTACGCTTAGAGAGCTATTGTATAAGTATACTAAAGTTGTATTTAATAGAGAAGAGAACTGTAAGCTACTTTATTTTAAAAGTTAATTAGTAGCAGCTTAAATTATTCTTTAGTTTAAAGTTTAAGAGTTTAGTCTAAGCGTTGTTTAGACGCATTAACTGCAAACTATACGCTTGTGCACGTAACTAAGATATTATTAAAAATTTGCTAACTAAGCTTTAGCCTATTATATACTACCTCTACTACTACTTGCGTATAACAAGGGCTTAAGACATACGTCCCTTAAAGGAGCTAAGTACGCGCTAAACCTGCTTATAAGGCGCGCCTCGCTCTACAAAGCGAGGCAAAGATTATTCTCTTTACAACCTACACCTGTAGTCTAAATATATAAGCTATCTCCTACTGTCTTTAGTAACGTAAAGTAAGCACTATTGCCTACAGTTACGCCTTACAGTAATACTATAAACGTAGTAGCACTTACTTATTAGACCTCTCTCTATAGAGTCTTTTTTGTAGATTATACTTAGATGCTTTTTAAGTAAATAAAGATACTCTTCTTTATAAGAGCTATTAATACGTTATAGTAGTCTATCTACCTCTTTCTTAGATACACGTCCTTATTTAAAGACAAGTTTATTACGTATACGTAGGCAGTCTCTTTGTACTTATGCAGTTTAAATAAGAATTAAGTAACTTTGTTAATCTCTAAAAGCTTACTATTTACTCTCTTAATTATTTAAGCAGAGATCTAATAGCGCTCTAGATAGTAGTAGTAAGCGAACTTCTTATTAACTAGCGCATAGTAAAGGCACTTACAATTAATTAGTGCTATAGTGTTTACTACGTTATTTACAATTAGATCTATTATAATTAGTAAAAGGCGTATATGCTTCTGCTAAAATTAACTCTATTTACTACTTATCTACTAATCTATTTTTAGAGGCTTTAAGCTAAAACTCTAGCTTAAAGCTCTTCTTTTTTTAAGTTACTATCTGTTAGTTCTTTAGCCTTTTTTTAGAGTTTCTGTCTTTTGCCTATAGAAATACTTTTTACTCTTTTAACTTAAGTAGTGTTTAAACAGCTCTTAGCAATGTAACTTAGCTCTCCGCAGCTATAGCAGTTAAGTAGTAGCTGTCTTAGCCTACTTCTTATCTCCTGCGCTTAATTAATCTTTAATAGTTTTTAGTCTATTACTTCTAAGCTAGCTTTTCGCTAAGTAGCTCTTAAGTAGTTCTAAGCGTTGCTATAAGCTACGTTCTTTTAGTTCTGCCTATATAGCTAAATTTAGTATAAGTTATTAGATAGCTTAATTGCCTTATCTATATACTCTTTTAGGCTTTTATTCTTAAGAGTGTAAAGTATTAGCTTCTAGAGCTCTTTTTTAAGGCCCTTACTAAATATCTCTTAAGCTACTACTAGGCTAAACTATTAACAAAATTCTACATAAAGCTAGTTAAACTCTAAAACGTAGTCGCGTATTAGTCTCTGTCCTTGCTTTAGGTGCTAAAGCTTATTTAGCGCGCGCTGCTGCTAGTGTACGTTTTAGAAGTAGGTATCTATATGCTCCTATAAGCTAATAACTATTTGTTTTTTGTTCTTAAGTACTTAAGAGAGAAAGACCTAGTTTGCTTTATCTTTTGTTTAGCTAAGCACGTATTAGACTTTTGCGTCCTCTGTTAAGAACATAGTACTATTATACTTTAGCTTCTTTTTACACTTAAATTTCTAGCCTAGGTAGTTACTTTATATCCTGTTAAAGCGTTCTAAGTTAAGAAACTTGTTTTTGTAGACAGCTAGCTTAACAACTAGTGTTAATAGTAGTAGAGGAGTGTTAGCTTCTAAAGACAGCTCTAAGCTTCTTTTAGCTTAACTCTATTTAAGCGCTTCTAGACAACTAGCTATTAGGCTAAGCAATTATATTATTTACTATATTATCTAGGCTATAGCGTCCTAATTGCCTTTTAACAACTCTCTTTATCTTAGCGAGCCTTTCTTTCTTACAACTAATAATTGCTTAACAACTACTTTAATTGTTAGCCTAATTGCTACTTCTTTCTATCTGTCTTCTCTTAGCATCTATGTAATTTTGCGCAAGATCTCTTTGTCTAAGACTCCTGCTTAGCTCTTAGTAGTAGCGTACGCTACTAGCTCCTCTACGTTTAAGTTTAGAACGTTAATCTCTATTGCTGCTGTTTAGTCTACTTGCGTAGCCTTAGACTACAGCCTACTCCTTGTTAATAAAGGCTACTTCTTTAGCTGTACTTCTCTTCTATCTTATTCTAAATAGCGTTTAGCTATTATTGTGTTGCGTCTTTAAGAAGACTTGCGTCTTACTGTCTTACTTGTAGAATCTCGTCTCTAATTAAGAGTAATTATACAGCCTGCACTTTATACAATAGAGAATTAACAGGACTTTAGACAGATTCTAAGCGACTAATTCGCCTACTGTCTCTCGCGGCTAAGCTTCCTGCGAAGCTCTGCTCTAGGTATGCTGTCTTGCGATAGTCTACCTACTCGCTGCGCTAGAGGCTTTTCGTACCTATTGCAGCACTAACTCTGTGTTACTAGCTTATACTAACAACACGTTCTAAAACTTATTTAGAAGACAGTTCGCCTAAGGCTTATATCTAATTAGGATTGAATACAAAATGTAAGGAGCTGCGCTCTGTAGAGCAATCGCGAGGTATACAAGAAGTTGTATTTAATAGGGAGCTAAGCTCCTAGCTACGTAGTTATCTATATACAAGCTAGTTGCCTGAGTAACAATCGGGCTAGTATAGTCTAGGTGCACGAGGCAGCTTCTAGGTCCTGCGGCTATCGTCTAAGCGACGTTCGGACGATGCGCAGAGAATCCGGGTGCTTGAGGTAGCACCCGGATTTTGCGAGTAGACTGAGATTCTATCGAGGAGCTGTCTAAAGGGCGTTCAGCCCGTTACACGTGCAGTAAGTAGCTAATTAGCTATTTCTTGTACGTAGCTAAGCGTAAGAGCAAAACCTCGCGCGTTAAGCTTCTTTATATACTAGACTATCGTCTCTTCCTTATACTTTACTAGCTTTAATAAATTAGGATAGATATCGCGTTAGGCAGGTGTTTTAGCGCGTTAGGTACTAAGCGTGCTTTAAGGAACGTTGTAGGTAGCAGCAGCGCGTTGCTAGCTTAGTAATGTATTAGATTTTATAGCTTAGATAGCAAGGATTAGCCTATCTGCGCGGGAAAGTAATTCAAGATTAGGTAGTTGTGGCATTGTGATGGATAGCAGGAGGTGGTGTTGTCTTAGCAAAGTGATCAGCTCGCTTGTGTGATTAGCTCGCTTGTGGCTCACGTTAAGCTAATGCGCGATTGGATTACTAGCCTTGAGAGAGCTAACGAAGCGGCGTCAACGCGTAAGCAGCGCAAGAAAAAGCGACTCTAGAAGCGTGGGGTCTTGACAAAGGGAGCTGGAGAGGATATACTCGCTTAAAAGGAGGCTGACCAGCAGATAGAGCGTGAACAGCGTCAAGGTGGAGAGCGATTAGGCCTTAGCCGCCAGGCTCTTGCGCGCTGCACAAGGTGCAGAGAGACTGGGCATAACTCACGTACATGCTAAAAGGATACTCTAGGTACTACTTAGTCTACTCTGTTAATATCTATATATTATCTTAAAAGGTGGTTGAGTTGCACGCTTCAAAGGCGATCAAAGTTGGTGGGGTGGGCGACTCGCTTGCCATATACGTTATCGAGTCTGCCCAGAACATCATGTTTCTTTCTCTTGCGAAGATGAAAATGGCATCAATAGCCTCGGCTAAGTTTGCAGTAATATGAATCTCGGCGCCATTCGCAAGGATAACTCTTGATAGATTCTTGCATCCCCATGTGTACGACAGCGCCACATATTGCGGGGCTTTCTCTACCTCGACTGTGACTATCTTGCAGATTGGAATGGGACCGGGTAGGAACTTGACCAGTCTAATGGCTCGGTTGGATTGGAGAGGCTCATATGAGAATCTTCTCATTTTCTCGATTCAGGGCGTTGTTGACGGGTTCTAGCTTTCACTCATATCAGGCTGGATGATTGGTAGCGTTTGGCTGTCTTCGTCCGTATGTCCTTCGAGAATAGCAGTGGTAGCTAACGAGATTACTGGAGCTATCAGTGGCCAAATTACACTATGTTGCGTGGGAGAATGTATTGTAGAAGAGCAACGGTGCGAGAGGTGGGAGGTTGGGATGGATCACGGTTGGATCATGTTGGTGGGAGGCGCAGCCAGGTTGTGGCGGAGCAAGGCTGATTGATTAAACTCATTCCGCCTTTGCAACACCAAAACTTCAATGCCTTGTAACTCCATCACCATGGATCCAGTTAAGACCATAATTACAACTACAGGATCGCTAGAACCACAAAACCTTGTATACACGCAAATTGCGAGAAGTTTAGCCTACAATGCCAGCTAAACAACACTAAGGCGCATCAATCTCAAGTTGTCCCCAGCGCGATCTCGTGACCCTGTCCAAGATACTATCAGGCTTCCATGTATATATTCTTGTCAACCGCCCATACGATCAAAGCCCAGCTACCACCGCGGAAGTGTTGAGTCTCGAAACCAATAGCAAGCGTATCTTCTCCCAAAGACCCATATGTCCTTCGCCACCACCCATTGGTATCATCTTGCCAACCACTCTCAACCTGTGCTCCAACAATTCGGCGTCCAGGGAGGCACATGGACACCTCATTCTTTAGACACACAGGCATACCATCACGCTTGCTCTCAGGGTCCCAGTCCTCTCGATACTCTATAACTTCATTGCGGAGACTTTCGTGCACATCATCAGGGCAGATTCCGATCTTCCATTGTGGGGTGCTGTGGGCTTTCACTCATTTGTTTCTGCAAGTCAATCAGTCTCACGTCAGCCATTTAATAAGAGAAACATTTGCTTACAACTTCCACTTCTCGGTTTGGCCTTCTGTTTCAGTCATCATCTTTGCCAGCTTTCGCCGTCGATCCCACACTCCTCTTAGCTCTTCTCGGACGTTCGTTAGAGTCGCCACGCATTGTTGAAGGGCCTCGTCATCATCTTCGGCGTATACGTGTAGATCAGCCAGCTTCAAAATCGTCGACTGGACGGATATCTCTAGGGCTCGAGCGCCGACCAGACGATTGGATCGAGCGGCAATCTGGAGAAGCTGGGCAAGCTCAGCCGCATTCCGAAAGTCTTCTGTGATAGACAGCGACCCTTCTGGATGTTTGATTCTGATGTCAATATTGGCATAGTGCGTAATGTGCGCCAGGACTGGTATGGGCGTGTAGTGCTCAAGGAAGTCGACCCAAGCTTTCTGAATATCGATTGTGTGGAGCCGGTGTTGCAAGTTCCGCGAACCGCATCCAACGACGACGATTTCATGCGTTTCCCTGATGCTATCGGATGTGTGGGATGAACCCATCTCGAAGGAAGATGCAGCTTCGACGGACACCGCCTTTCCGCTGAAGTCCGCCGAAAGCGTACTGGCAAACCGGTCGAGTTCCTGCTTTGTATCGGCCGAGTAGGTGCTCACGGCAAAGAATGTGGATTGACGAGTTCTTCCAGTAATGCAGTACTGGCCGTACCTTGTCGTGAAGGTTCGTGCGTTGCCCTCCCCGTACCAATTCAGCCGCCCAAAACAGGACTCTGCTTCGTCAGAGAGCTCAAGCAAATGCTCATAATGCTCAGCAGGCAGCGTAATAGTGCAACGCCTGATCACTACCATGGACGTCTTGCTACATTGAGCGGTCTTGAGTGCCTCAAGGGAGGCTTTAAGATTGAAGACAGTAAAGACCGATGCAAGTGCCCGTGTGTCAGAGGTCATGTATTGGAGTAAAGTTTCCTCATCGCGCAATATCTTGCTGCTGATCTCCAGAGTGTGCAGGTCCGTACTTGGAAGTTCAGAGGAGGGATGACATGGCCAAAAAGGCGAGCGCAACGACTGCTGTTTGCGGAGATCGTAGCCGGAGCTAATTTTCATATAGTTGTCATCCCACGGTATGCTCCCGTGTTCACGGATATGAGACGAGAACATAGAGTTCATAATTGGCTTCAGTCGATAAAGAGTTTCCGGGTACTAGCACTAGGAGCCACGCCCGATGCTGATGACATGTGCAAAAAGAAAAACATAACATACAACAGCGGGGATTGGCTAGTGGTCACCCACCCAACTACTATTCCGCTGGTACACTGCTTGTATATGGCTGAGCAGACGGGAAGCCTAGCTTTCTCTTTGTCTGTCACCACCAGAATTGTTAATCTTCCCCTTTATGGCAGTTTGTTAACAGGCTTCTATTAGCAGTCTAGGCTGTTAAAGCCCTGGCTGCGCCATTCGACTCAGCCATTTAGGCAGATCCGGAGCTGACACGCTGCAGTTTAACAGGTCCTGGTTCTACAAATGTGCATACGAACAAACAACGAAGCTGTAAACCATAAGGTCATCGTTCAACTATCAACTAACATGGCTTTCCGCCCGTGCGAGGAGCACACAACATTGAGTTTGACAGTTGTCAAACTCATTGCAACCGCTTGTGAGCAGTATGCCTGGAAATGGAACGTCGTGTCTAGTGACGATGAGATTCGGGACTGGTTTCATTCCCCGATGGGATCTTCACTTCTGCTGTGGGAGCAAGTCTGCAGGAACTTTTTGAGTGATTACGGTTTTCGCGTCTCTGGCAACAGAGCCCGAGTGCCAATCGCATACTCACAGAGAAAAAGACGTATCGCTACTAGGACGACTTGTACCACAGTTGCTTGCAGTAGCCCACCAATGTACATTGTTCAAAGCTTCACACGATATGACCTCAATTCAATCGTTAAATCCCTGCACATACGCACTGTTTAGGACCTTGGACACCACTGTATATATGTATTACAGTTGAACTACGCTAGTCTCCACGTAGCCAAATCGTAGACTTTGTGACTAGTAGATGGCACCACACGTTGATTTCATGCGACAACATAATCGACTTGAAGATAGTCATCCTATAGCTCACGCATGATGTCGCGACCGCTTTGGCCTGGCTTACCTGAAACCATAGCATTGAAGTCCATATTCTTGATGACTCCAGCGGCTGCAATACTCCAGTTGTCAGCAGCAACGTCTGAGATGTCCTGATCAATCCTCAACTCTTCTCCAGAAGCGTTGATGAATCCAGCAAGAGCTGAACTGTTGTTTGTCGCTGTAACGCCCTTGATCTTTTGTCCTGTGCGCTCATAGACTGTTTGAGAAAGTGCCTCTATACACATATCTCTCAAGACATTGTGCGTCGCTTCCTGTCGCCCAAATTCGCGGAGAATCTCCTGTCTACTCTGTTCTGATTCCCGATCCTGTGATACTGGGCCGGACTCGCCACCGCGCGTCGTGAGTTGCTGTATGACATCTTCTGTCTTTGCTGTTTCAGTATTCGCTCGATCCAACTGCTGCTGGAGAATGTCCTCGTGGTATTTAAGCATCATATCCTTCATCTCTTGCATCACATTGTCTTGACGGAACATAGTAACACTGCTAAGGGTTTAGATATTGTACAATGGGTTTCTGGGAGTGGAGACACGTACGTCGTCGCAGTTGAGAGTGCTATACTAAGGGTGCTCTTGCAATTACCAAGCTGTTCCCTGAATATCTTAATCCGCTCTAGTCCAAAAAGCCCAAGCTTCCATCTGTCCATCCAGAACATCTTGTCCTTTGTAGAATGCTTTGTCCAGTGCTCTACTTGCATCTGAAAAGTCCTGCACGCTGTATGGCAGTTCTCTACAGCATGCTTGACCTGTTCACTTAGAAGAATCTGGGAAGAACCTTCTTGCAATGCTCTAGCAAGACTTTGCAAAGTAGCCTGAATTGCCAGAAGGTCGGTGCTGATACCCGCAACGGTGGCGGGAGCCTCAGCGATACTGTCGATCAAGTTGGTGAGGAACTGAGCACTTTGAAGAGCAGCCATGGTAATGCCCACAATGGAAGCGGCGATGCTGAGGGGATCCATGGTAATAAGAACTGCTTGTTGTGGCCAGAGAAAAAGGGTGAAAGCTGCCAGAGGATGGACGATTGTAGAAGGCGTCAGGGGGCTGAGACGGTGCAATTTCAATTGGGACGCGGCTGCGAGGCTGCGACCAATCACTGCACACGCCTTGCCGCTGTTGTTTTGGAGACATTATAGGGAAGCTGTGCGCTTGTTCGGCGTAGAGAGGTAACTTCAAAGCCTCCTTAGAAGACGTATCTATCTGATCGCAATAGTCGTGCTGTTCAACGATGGCTAGCGGTGCTTTACCCCACTCTTTGTACATACATGGCACCTCTGCAACGAACGGCGGCCAGAGCTTTGCTGGTCTCAACCTCGGCACCATAAACTATGCCCAAGGCAGCAACAACAACATTTCTTGCAAGTATATCATACTCCAAGCTTTTGTGAACATTCAAACTAATTAACCGCCTAGCCCTGAACGAGATTCTCAACGCTCTTCCGATCGCCAAAGATGCACCTTTCAACGCATACCAGCGGCAACATGACCCAACCTGCTTGCCTAACACCCGTGTCGACCTCCTCCGCAAGATAAACGACTGGGTGGACGGAAAAGACTCGCCAAGCATCTTCTGGTTGAGCGGTCTAGCTGGCACCGGAAAATCCACGATAGCGCAGACGGTGGCCACGCAATACAACATGAAGAGTCGACTTGCTGCAAGCTTCTTCTTCTCACGGGCGGGCGGAGATGTAAGCCACGCAGGAAAGTTCATCACCAGCATTGCATTCCAGATTGCGAATAGTATACCAGGTTTGAAGCGTAAGGTCTGTGAGGCGATAGCAAAACACAACAGTATTGCAAATCTATCCCTCTTCGATCAGTGGCAAGAGCTGGTGATTGTTCCACTGTTGAATCTTGAGGAACAGGATTGCCGATCAAGCTATGTTATTGTTGTCGATGCACTTGATGAGTGCGACGGCCAGGACAACATTCAAATCATACTGCAGTGTCTAGCTGAAGTGCGCTCATTACAGAGTACTCCAGTGCGCGTGCTCTTGACGAGCAGGTCTGAGATTCCCATCCAGCACGGATTTATTCGAGTGCGAAGAGACGATCACCAGGACTTTGTGCTTCATGACATCGACCCCGCAATTGTCGAGCATGATATTTCAATATTCCTGAAACACAAGCTTGAATTCACTAGAGATAAGTATAGGCTCGGCAATGAATGGCCAGCGGAAAGGGACATCAGAGGACTGGTAGAGAGGTCGGGTGGTCTCTTCATCTGGGCTGCGACAGCTTGGCGGTTCATTGATGAAGACAGCCAGCTTGCAGAGACACGAATACTTTCGCTAATCCACCAAGTCAACGGCACGCTTCCTCCAGAGCGCAAGCTTGATGAGATCTATACCACTGTCCTTGCCAACTCTGGTCATGGAAATTACAACGAAGCAGAAAGCCAGACGCTGCACACGCTGTTCCGCGAAATAGTTGGACCAATCGTCACGTTGCAAGATCCGCTATCTATCGATAATCTTGCAGAGCTGCTCGGGAAAGATGTCGCAGTCTTGAGAAGGACTGTAGCCCGCTTGAACTCGGTTCTGCATGTGCCAGCAGCTGGGCCGGGCACCATGCAGCTACTCCACCCATCCTTCCGCGACTTCATTTTGGATCAGAGGAGATGCACGAGTCTTCGTTTTCACATCGATGAGCGATCGGTACATCGTGAGATGTACACACACTGCCTCCGGCTGATATCGAAGCACCTTCACCGCGATATCTGCAATCTCCAGAATCCAGGAGCTCTTGTAGCTGAATTAAGCCAAATCGACCTCGACAGATACATTGAGCCGCATGTAAAGTACGCATGCCGGTTTTGGGTGCACCATTGCATACGAAGCGACGTAGACGCAAGCAGCTGCTCCAATATTGAAGCCTTCTTCCACAAACATTTCCTTTGGTGGCTTGAGACGCTTTCCCTACTTGGCTATGGCTCTAACGCAGTTCATATGATTCAAATGCTAGATGACGTGTTTTCAGTGAGTACCTCTCTGTTCTGAAGAACATCAAATGTAGCTAACCTTCTAGAACAGGCATGAAGTAGATGGTCAGATAATATTGAAGCTTCGAGAGAAGATCAAGACTTTCAAGACAAGCGTAAGCCTTGGGGCCAACAGCGTTGCAGGGCCTGCTAGCAGCACCACCCGCCCAAGTCTACGTGCTGTAGTTAACGATGCCGCACGTTTTGCCTTGGCTTTCAGGCCAATGCTTGAAGAAGCGCCTCTTCAGTTATACTATGCTGGTCTACTATTTAGTCCGAAAGCAAGCATAATTAGAGAACTATTCTCGAGCGAGGCTCCGCCTTGGCTTCTTCCTTGCCTACACATGGGAGAGATTTGGAGCCCATGTTTGCAGACGCTCAAGGACCATGCGTATACGGTCAGTGCTGTAGCATTCTCGCCCGATAGGAAGACGCTGGCGTCATGTCGCAACGCAGTGAAGCTGTGGGACGCTAGCTCAGGGAAGGTGCTGCAGACGCTAAAGAGTTGTCCGAGATGCCTAATTACCGTTGCAGCTTTCTCGCTAGATAGCAAGACACTAGCGCTAGGAGATAGTAGTGGGACAGTGCAACTATGGGACGTTGGCACGGGAAAGGTACTGCAGAATCTACACAACACCCGTTCGGGTCGGGTTGGTGCTGTAGCCTTCTCGCTAGACAGCAACACGCTAGCGTGGGGATTTGGGGATGGGACAATAGAGACTAGAGGTATTCACTCAAGCGCACAGCAGAAACTCAAGGGCCATGCAGGCCCAGTTAGTGCTCTTGCCTTCTCACCAAATGGTAAGACGCTAGTGTCTGGATCTGTGCACAGCAAATTGAAGCTGTGGGATGTTGACTCTGGGGAAGTGCTTCTCAAGCTATACCATCGCAATGACGGTCAGGTTAATGCTCTAGCCTTCTCACCCGATGGTAAGACGCTGGCATCAGGATTCTGGACAGGATTTATAAAGACGTGGGACACTGGCTCAGGGAGGTTGCTGCAGACACTCTCGAGCCATTTCAGTTCAGCCGACCGGGGTCGTGTCCAAAGCCGCGGCTGGGTAGGCGCAGGACCCCGACTACGGGTTTCAGTCAATGCTTTAGCCTTCTCGCCAGACAGCAAGATGCTGGCGTCAGGATCTGATGACAAGACAGCGAAGTTGTGGAACGCTAGCTCAGGGAAGGTGCTGCAGACACTGAAGGGCCATTCAGGACCAGTCAACACTGTAGCCTTCTCACCAGACAGCAAGACGCTAGCGTCAGGATCTGATGACACGGCCGTAAAGTTGTGGGACGCCGGCTCAAGGAAGGCGCCGCAGACGCCTCAAGGTCACTCAGGTCTGGTCAATGCTTTAGCCTTCTCGCCAAACAGCAAGTTGCTAGCATCAGGGTCTAGAGATGAAAAAGTAAAGCTGTGGGACACCAGCTCAGGAAAGGTACTGCGGACGCTCAAGGGCCATTCAGGTTCAGTTAATGCTCTAGCCTTCTCACCAGACAGCACAACGCTAGTGTCATGTGATACGACATTAATGCTGTGGGATGTCGGCTCAGGGAAGATGCTGCATTCAACGAGGCCTTCTCTGCCTCCCATTACTGCTGTGGCCTTCTCGCCGGACGGCAGGACACTGGCGTGGTGTCGGCATGCCGATCTGGTGAATCTGTGGGACGTCAGATCATGGACGACACTGAAAACGCTTAAGAGCTATTCAGCTTCTATCAGTGCTCTAGCCTTCTCACCAGATAGCAAGACACTAGCGTGCGGATCTAGGAACGAGACTGTAGAACTGTGGGATATCAGTTTAGGAAAGGTGCTGCAGACACTCCAGGGCCATTTGAGTCAGATGGTCAACGTACTCTGGCCTCAATTGACTTCCCCGTTATCGCTGAGCGTCGAGGGCGATTGGATCTGTCGGAGTGAAAAAAGAGTGCTCTGGATTCCTTCTGAATATCGAACGAGGATGGTTGCTTTCCATGACAACCTCGCTGGTTTTGCGCATTCTTCTGGCCATGTATCAATTTTGAGATATGTAGATTGAGATATATCCTCCTTGCTCCCCACGCGCTTCGTACGCAATCCGAATCAAATTGTACACCACTATCCAATGGCAATAGGACCACACAATGATAGTGCTTCATCAGCAATTTGACGATCTGGAGATATTGAAGGACTTCTGTACTGAAAAAAAACAAGGGCATGCAATGCTCTAGTCTTAGTGACTAATTGCTGTTTCCTAGACGTCGAAGTATCCTGACATCAGTAATCCGGATCCTAGACATGCACCCACTGCAGCAATACAACAGATGGCGAATATGACGAGAGAACTAATTTCCAATGTCCTATGGTTGTATGTACTGATTCGACGGGTATATTGTCTCATATCATCCTAATCATCTACGACTCTGGGATTTTCTAAGCGATATGCTGACTATCTAATATCATACTATACTCCTTCATCTTCCAAAATAAATGGAATGATGAGCTGGTGATGGTGTATTCTGTTGCATATTTCCAAAAATCGTGTGTGGATGACCTCGGTGGTTTCGAGACTTTTCTGGAGTCTCACAGTACGATATTCCCTGTCGTTGACGTTGCGACTGGATGGATCAGACCACTATGCCATCCACCCGCCATAGGACTACAGTAACGCACTATGCTTCCGGCGTGGGAACCCTTGCGTCTATCTCGGCACTACAAAGACTGTCAACAATGCCAAGTCCCGCCAAGCCACCAGGTACTTTTTAACGATCATCCCCTCCATCACCAGCGTTGAGAAAAGCACGTCCCGGATGAGCATCAGAATGGCAGTACCAAGGTCTCTCAATTTTGTTGGCTCAACCGGACGTTATTATTCCTTCAAGAGTTTGATCCAGGAAAGACCGCACCTGGGTCGTGTTTGGTTAGCATCGTTCGGCCAACCTCCCATATCGTATGCCTCTAGACACAACTAACAATCCTGCAGATCTGCAAGCGATGAATTTATATTGAAAGACGTACTATCCCTCCATGCGTGGGGGAAAAACCTGCGTGCCGGCATGCCGATCATGCTCCCCACCACAACAAAACCAACCATGGCTAAGAGGCGTCGAAAATCTCGGGATGGAGAACTTAACCCTAAAGCTTTTCCTACACTGCGTCTCTTCGTCAACAGATTCCTGCTTAGCTAGCAATACCACGATACGCTGCCGCCACGTACGACAGCCCTGCCTCGGACAGCCTCGGACGTGCTAAAGGTTTAATGCATGTATCTAGGAGTCTGTCAAGCTATACAAAGGCACACAAAGAGTGTATCCCGAGCGGGGTACTACGGTATTATAGGTTATAGCGCTGATGCGCAAGCCTATTCCTCTACAGAGCGGAATCGACAACTAACGCGCGCTAGCTGTGAGTAGCTTAGCGGTATTCTATCCACGCTGATGTCAGACCCTCGACCCACGAACGTGGCTATGATATCACGCCAGCTCACTGACCCCGCACGTCTTTCTCCGTGTACTGTATTTTATTTCAGCAGCTGTCTGTGGCTGTAAGACCTCATACGACCAATCAGGGTTTGCCACATAGCATTTTTGAGCACTTGCAAGAGTTAATGAAATCATGTTGATCTTTCCTTCCCCTCTTTCTACAGTACATCAACCCACATCTAACATCTCTCCCTCTCTTTCTATCCTCAAAAAAAGGTAGCATTATCTTAATTCATGATGTATTCCCCTCTATGCATATTTTTCTATAGCCGGAAAGGCTACTGTTGGAAAAGGGGGACTAACCCTGTCTTACAAAAGCTTTCTACCCTCAACGATGCACCTGATAATCTCCTCCAATCCGTCGCTATCAACGTATCGCAACCTGACGCTCTTGCGACCTGGCTCGAGACAAACAACGCTGCTTTAATCTCTGACCTTACCGTTTTTGTCGACGCGACCGACGCCGCACCTAGTCCTCAGCGATGGTGCTTACTTTTCGACAAACTTCAACGAGAAGCAACCAAAATTCAAAATCTGAGTGTCTACTGGGATGCAGAGGGTCTAATACATATTGGGCTAGGGAAAAGCGTCATTTTTATACGCGGGCTGGCACAACTTAAGGTGGAGAGATCGTTGAAGATTGGTGGGTTTTATGCCATGCACTGGCCGAGATACTTGGAAGAGAAGATGGCTTTGAAGCCAGTGAATAAAGAGATCTTTCCAGGAAGTCCATGGGTAGGCATGTTGAAGGAGTATCAGAGAGGGACCGAGAGCCGGAATCCTTGGGTTAATACTGAGGATGGAAAGGGGGATGTCCCGAGACGCACGGACTTCGCTGATCTCCCCAAATCTTTACATTCTTGATTTCCCCGTTCTGGCGATTCTGCTATTTCGTTTTTCCATGTAAGGTGCGTCCCTAGGTGAAGAAACACACTGTGTCCCGAGACAGGTCCACGGTTCGGACACTCGGAAATGCTTCTTCTTGGAATTGTCGAGATATAGCCGACACAATAGTTCTCTAGCTACTGTTCGTTAAGTTAGCAAACCTCCGACACAGACTCCAGTAGTGTTGGCTCGGCTATTAGCTATCTCGTTATCGTTGCTAATTAACTCTCTAGCGGCTACCCCTTGTTCATTCGTGGCGTTAACGGCTCCCGAACTGTTCGGAGGGTCAAGCAGCAAGTGCGATAAAGCAAGATAACATCTTGAGGGTTTGAGAGCTCTTCGGCGCGGCAGCGTGCATGCTGGGAGCTCCGTTGTGTGAAGCAGGAGAGGCTGCTGAGAGTTGTCCCCCTCCGAAGTACCGAATTGCTTTGCATCTACACAACTTAACACTAGCAAGATTTTAAATAAACTTTCAAACACCTAAAAAACTTCTAGGGCCTCGCAAAGCTCCTATAAAAATTTGAAGCTAAAGATTAGTATGTGTTGTAGTTGAATTGCATGTTAATTAAAGTTAGTAATTAGTATTTTCGAAGAAATCGCAAACTTCAAGTCTACTTAGCTTATTCCTATCTCTGTCGAAATCTACAAAATACAAGCGAGAGGTACTCTAGTGCATGCGAAACGTATTCTAGGCTTTAAAGATAAAAATTACACACAGTGTTGCGGTGAAATTGCATTGCGGAGCGCAAAAGTTGACATTTTCGGTACTTTGGAGGGGGACAAACCTCAAAAACGGGGGGACAAATTACGCTAGCCGGTCAGACATCAGCGCGGATAGTAAACCGCTAAGCTAGTTGCGGCTTTTCTGTACGACTCGCAGCTAGCGCGCCTTATTTGTTGATCCTGCTCTGTAGAGGAATAGGCTTGCGCAACAGCGCCACAACCTAGAATGCTGTAGTACCTCGCTCGGGATAAACTCTTCATATGTCTTTGCAGAGTTTGACAGACTCTTAGATGCATGCGTTCAACCTTTAGCGCGTCCGAGGCTGTCCGAGGCAGGGCTGTCGTACGTGGCGGCAGCGTATCGTGGTATTGCTAGCCAAGCAGGAATCTGTTGACGAAGAGACGCAGTGTAGGAAAAGCTTTAGGGTTAAGTTCTCCATCCCGAGATTTTTGACGCCTCTTAGCCATGGTTGGTTTTGTTGTGGTAGGGAGCACGGTCGGCATGCCGGCACGCAGGTTTTTCCCCCACGCATGGAGGGATAGTACCTCCGAACATATTCTCAGCACTTAACGAGAATGTCCGACCAAGACTTGCTCAAACACCCCGCATACGACTACCAGTGGACACCATCCCAGATCAGTGCATATTCGTGTATGAAAACCTGAATGATGATTTTTCAAGTCTGGTTCGGCGTCAGATCCCAATGCGAGCTCGGAAGGAAATCCTCAAAGCTACTTTGCAAGGAATCGCAGATATGCATGACCGCGACATTGTCCATTTAGGTGAGCCCAGTGATACGGCTCTTCATACGGTTAATGCAAATGATTGATCTTCTCTAGATGTCAAACCTGACAACATTTTGGTTAACTACCGCCATGTTGATCAAAACGTCGTGGTCGAACAGGTACAAATCTCTGATCTTGAGAATGCAGCCTATCTTCCAAGGCCTAGGTGTATCAAAGGAATGCTAGCTGGAAATGATGACTGGCGCAGCCCTGAAGGTCACTTTAAAGGAGAGCTCAACAAACCGTCTGATTTATACTCATTCGGACTGGTCGTAAGTGCTTAATCTGAGCAAAATCTTTTTCATCACTAACATACCAAGTGCATCTACGCTGTCCTCGGGCGCGTTATACTAGGGCATGATGATGATTTCAGGCTACACGTGTCCAAAGGCGCACTACCTGCATTGATCCGCCTGCAGCGCCAAATCTCATATTTTGGAGACAAGGAAGGGTTAAATGGGCTCATGAAGCATGTTGGTGATGAGGAAGCGAACTGTGAGATTCTTGGAATGCTTTGGGAAGAGCGAGCAGCAGATTATATCCCATATGTGCCGTTCTCGGAGTGGACAGGCGTTGACTCGGCATTCAAAGACTTGATCCGAGGGTTGAACAATCTGGACCCCTCACGGAGGCTTACAGCTTGCCAGGCATTAGAACATCCCTGGTTTGAGGGCGTCGAATCCGCTTAGTAGTAGTACGACGATATCGATGGCGATGATGGCACACGATGACTTGCTTGGAGCAGATACGCGGAGATTTTCGGTGCATAAATTGGAAAAGGCGTCAAAAGCCGTGTTAGAGATACTCTACGCGTCTTCTCTTGCGTGACTAGTCTTGCTCGTTTGGGTAGAGCCTTCCTGTGCTCTCTCGAAAGCCATGCACACGACGCTGATATGGTGTTCCTGTATATAAAAATGATTTAAAAATCATGCATGAAAGATATATCCTCTTTGGACAGAGAACAGCAGTTACAAAGAGTATGATCGGGATAGTTCTGGAGAAATACTGATAGTATGCGTGGTAAGAAAGGACAAGGAATACTGAAAGACAAGAGAGCTTTGACACTCGCAGTCACCGTGTGTCAATTGCTTCCAAAGGAACCTACACACACATGTGGTCATCAAATAGGACACTTCTTTACGACAATAAGACTGCTACACACGGCAGCACATTCCGTGATTGCTTACCCCACATGCATTCGGATGCGATAACGATAATGCAGGTGCCCAATTTCCTAATGCTTATGCCACGCCCAACGTCGGATCCGACTAAAAGACGGAATGTGAAACCGATAAGCGAAAGCCGGTCGATCCCAATGTCCAGATGGCGTGACTCGCGCATCATCACAACAAACGGGACAATAAAATGTCTATGAGGCCCCACATCCGTCCCGTCAGAGAACTAAACTAGGACCTGAAACACATAACCCCACCTGGAACACCCAAAGACCAGGATACGCCTGTGTCGCGGTTCTGGAACAATACTCGTGCCCCATTTACAGGTACAAGCTTGCACAGTTGCAAATGTCCCTGTTTCAAACACTTGTCAGTTTACCCATTTCACACACATAATGCACCCCAGCACATAACAAACCCAAACAACGGGCCAACGCGTTCCAAACACCCAGGGCTCAACCCGCCGGCGCGGATACGGGACATGAGAAGAAACTAAATGGGAAGAGCACATACCGTTTGATGAGTTCCTGACACGTCCCCATTTTTTGGAACAAAGTCGGGTCGCCGATAATCCGAGCCGCGTTCTTGACCTCCCGGCACGTCTCGTCTAGCCGGGTGATGACGCGGACAATAGTGCCCTCCATGACATCTGTCAGGTCGGTTATGCGATTGAATGACATACCCCTCGCCCACTCATACACGACTTCGACCATGCCGAAGCGGGGTTTGCTGACAAAGTCGTTCGAGTCATCTGCGGAGAGGATGACCTGATGCAGAGTTTGGATCTTGTTGACCTTCTCAGAGATCTCAACGATCTTGGCGACACCGCGTTCCAGATTTGCTGTTAGCGTAGGCTCTACGTCGGTCTTCTCTTGGAAGACAAAGGCCGAGAGTAGTGCGACAATTTCTTCCGGTTCGTACTCGGCGAGGACATTCTCCAAAACGAGTTCGGTAAGGACCAGCTCGTCGGCCGAGTGGATCTGAAAGTTGTCAGTGAATGGGTAGGCCTGGTTAAGAGAGACAGGCATACCTCGCAGGCTACCTTGCCCTTCAGCTCCACGCGGGAACCTTCGTCAATAAAGCCGAGATCCTTGAGTACGTGTATGCGCTGTTCATAGTCAGGGAGCAGCTGTAAATTCTGATCTGACATGAGCTGGCGGAGGGCAAGGATGTTCTCTTTGATAAGCCACTGATCATGCTCTTGAGCAAACTACGATGGTTAGCTTGGGTTGAGAACACAGCCAGCCACGAACACGTACGTGTTTCAAGAAGTTTGGACACTTCAGGCATTCTTTGCTAACCGCATTCTGACCCTCCTTCATGCGGGCTTCCGCCAGTTCGCGGAACTTGAGGCTCTTGATCTTGCTGTAGTCGTATTCATCCCAGTCTTCATAGTCCCAAGATCCACACAAGGGCAGGAACTGATCTTGGGCCAACTTCAAGGCATCTGGCATATCTGTTAGCGCCGGATTCAAGCCACAGCGCACCCACTTACCCTTGGATACCTTTCGGCCCAGGTTTTGAATGGATTCGGGCACATCAATGATGGTCTTGGTAAAGCATTCGATATCGTTCAGGGGCACGTAGGCTGCCTTTAGGATCAGATCCTTGGGGTTGTTCGGTAACTTGCGGAACCACTTTGCAAAAGGACCGACATATGGCAAGAGGTCGTCAGGCTTGCGATCTTGGTGCTGCGCCACCTCTAAGACTTTGACCGTGGGCTCGTTGCCTTTGCTAGTACCATCTTGCATTAGCATACCGGCGGTGCGTTTATTGTCCTGGTCAAGTTAGCAATAAGTCACTTTAGGAGCGGAAATTAGTGACTTACCTTCTTATAGACAATCAATCTATTCTTCGCCAAAGCCCGTCGTCCAATAGGGTTGATGAGTAGACTCAGGTGCATCTCGTTGGTGAGTCTCTTGTAGTCTTCACAAGACTGATGGCAGGCCTCTAGGTCGATATCGCAGGTATCACAAGGCTCGCGCTTGATCTTCTCCAGCTCAGCCTCCGAGACTTTGACCTTGCCTTGATGTTCAGGTAGCAGCGCTTGGGTGGCATTCTCGCTGAAACTTCGCTTGATCATCTCTTCGATCTTCAAAGCCTCTACACGCAAAAGGTTGAGCATCATGTTATACGTCAGACGAAACTGTGATCTGAGCTTAGTAGGCTCACCCAACATCATCTGACGGAGTCTGGCTGCCGGTGGTGCCTCGTCGGCTCCGGGCGCACATATGATTACAGTGCCGACTGTGTCGAGTCCTCTTCGTCCTGCGCGGCCAGCCATCTGAGTGTATTCGCCAGGAAGCAAGTCGCGGAACTCTCGTCCGTCGTGTTTGCGGAAACCAGAGAACACTACGGTTCTAGTGGGTAAATTGAGACCCATCGCGAAAGTCTCCGTGGCGAAGAGAACCTTGACAAGTGTCTTTGCAAACAGAATCTCTACAACCTCTTTGACAATGGGTAACATTCCACCATGATGGACAGCAATGCCTCGGCTGAGCAACTCTCTTAGGCGCTTGATCTGAGGAAGGTCACGGTCTTCCTTGCTCAGTCTAGCCAGCGACTTCTCGATGGTCATGTGTATCGCGCTCTTCTCAGCAGCGTTGCAATAGTCGATGTTTGAAAGCGCCTCGGCATTCTCCTCGCAGCGCTTCTTGGAAAAGACGAATATACAAGCCGGCAACAGGTCTTTGTTTCGAAGATGCTGTATAAGATGGACCCAGATGTTCCGATCTTGCGCGGCTGTTGTTCGACCTCCGCCACGACCGGTCCTGGCGATGTTGCCACGACCCCTCGCAGCCGGTGGTCCTCCGCCTCGAGGTCCACCACGCCCGCCACCTTGTTGACCTCTTCCACGTTGATTCTGCCCCCCCCGGGCGGGCGTTCCTCCGCGACCCCCACCGCCTCTACCAGCTTGGGCTGCATTCGCAGGAGCTTCTTTGATCTTGTCTTTCCCGGACAAGACATCGTTTGCAGCTTTCCAGCCGTTGTCGATGAATTTCTTGTCTGCTGTAACGATCTTGTGGATGTCTTTTCCAGCCCAAAGATAATGTTCGAGAGGAATGGGACGTTTTGGAGTCGAGATGACGTAGATGTCCTTCTTCTTTGTGCGACCAACCCATGACGCGAACTCGTACGTGTTGGGGACAGTTGCGGATAGTAGGATGAGAGTCACATGCTCTGGCAACATGATGATGACCTCCTCCCAGACAACGCCACGCTCCAGATCATTGACGTAGTGTACTTCGTCGAATATGACAAACTCTACATCTCGGATAAGATCCGCTCCTCGATACAACATACTCCGGAGGATCTCGGTGGTCATGATGAGACAGCTAGCTTCGGGTCTGATCTGCACATCTCCAGTAAGAATGCCGACATCGTCGAATGTTTGGCGGAAATCGCGGAACTTTTGGTTACTCAAAGCTTTGATAGGAGATGTGTAAATGGCTTTGGTCATGTGCTTGGCAGCGAGTGCGATCGCGTACTCTGCAACCACTGTCTTGCCAGCGGACGTATGTGCGGCTACGAACACTGAGTCGCCGTTCTCAAGATGGTAGACTGCTTCTTTCTGGAAAGTATCGAGCTCGAAGGGCCACTCGCGCGCCATATCCGGCACGAGTTCCTTGAAGTTGGTAATGTCGCGATCGATGTCAACCATATGAGCCCACTCTCTTCCGCCTTTCCTTCCAGAGCTCATGGCAAGCGGGCCGTGAGGAGCCAACGCAGGAAACTCTACTGGTAGCAAGGCGTCAATCTCGTCGTCTCCAGGCTGGTCTTCGTCAGGCTCTTGGCCGTTCGCGCCGGCCTTCTCGGTGGTCTCTTCGTCATCAGCATCCATATCCCTTAGGGCTGCACCCGCCTCTGCTAAGGTGTCTTCGACCTCTTGCGCAGCCTTGGCATCTGTGGTTGGCTTTTTCTGGAAGTCGAGCCCACGAGTAAACCCAGGCGGTACCTCCAACAGGCCCCCTTCAGCACTGAAGTTGATGACTCTGTCAAGGCCACCAACCCGTTTCCCATTTGCATCCTCCTGCTGTTGAATTGCCTCATCTTCGATTGCAGCTACCGCTTCCACTCCATCAAGACCGCCAGGTGCGAAAGGAAAGAAGCCGGCTGCTCCACGCACGAATTCAGCTCTGTTGGCAGGCTTCCTGAGAAGAGACGTCGAGTTCTTGGCTGTTGCCGAGTTTGCTGGAACTGTGACTTCTTTGTATCCCGTGACGCGGCCCTCTAGCCCCTCGCGCGTGAAGCGGATGATGGTTCGGGTCTGGGTTGGGGCGATCTGGAACAGGCTGCGGTAATTGGTGGGTGCATCCCAGCGCTGCTGAAGCTGGTTCAACCACTGCGTGTCGAAAGACTTGGAGGGTGTCAGGAATTCTTGCTCTAGTTCCTTTTTGATGACATCTTTGGTTTTGCGTTGTCGCTTCGGTGGCCGTTGTTCGCCAGCTATGGAGTCTATCCCATCTTCGCCGAGACTACTGCTGTGCAGCCGCAGCTTCTCCAATTCTCCAGACAAAGCTTCCATATTCGCGGGTTGAGTACGAATCTGGTAGATTGCTATGCCTGTCCAGGTGCGGGATTGTGGCGCGCCGAGTGAGAAAATGGATGACGTTGTTTGTTTGAGACGCCAAGCCGCATCGGGAGGACCCACTTCCCCCGCTATACACTGGGTGACAGCATTCGGTGCTTATATCGTGTGCGATCAACAATCTGTACCTGCATATGTATTACGAGGAACATGGGTCTTATCAGAATTTGGATAGCTCCGAGACATTGCGAGACAGCCGAACCCGAATAACTCTGGTTTGTAGATCTCACGAGCACATGACCCGCAGACAGAGCATATCAGGGTACGCAGAGAATATATTGTAGCCATTTGCAATCGCACATGGCAGGTCACCGTGATGTCGTAACCTAACGCAATTGCCTTGCTTGTGAATGATTCCCCAACGCCGCGCTATGAATGTCCAAAATCAGAATGCTACATTGTGTAGCTGTTCAATCCCACAAGTCGTCCATATCCGCCATCGCTTCCATCTCGTCCGCAAAAGGATCGTCTTGTGTAGGCGCGGGTCGCGTTGGGAGTGTCTTTGGTACGGTGGTACTAGGTTGGTTGCTTTCAGCCAACAACGCATCTAATTCGTCGTCGTCGGGGTCGCCGCTTGCTACTGCTTCTGCCGCATGATCTGCTGAATTGGAAGTAGGATCCTCCCACTCTCCTTGTCGGCTCGGGCTGTCTTGCCCAACATGCTCTACGCCCTCCATCTCCTCGGTGCTTTGTTGTGGAGTCTTCTCCCGAGTTGCGTCGTCTTCGTCGGCGTCGTCGTGTCCTGTGTTGCGACGTGGTTTGCCTTCATCGATCCAGTCTTTCCGCATCATGTGCATGCGCTTTGTATGTCCAACCTTTTCGATGATGGCCAGGGCGTCTGCAAACTTAGCGCGGGGGTAGAGGTCGTCGAGCCACAATTGATACATGTTCAGCATGCGAGCGATGTCTCCATACTGCGACTGAGTTAGCCTGGTACCGCTTACTCATGCGGAACAACCATACCTCGTGGCCTTTGCCTTTGAAGCGAAGGCGCTCTTTTGAGATCTTGCGTAGGCGGGGAATGCCAGGATCGGACAGCAGTCTTTGGTCGTCGAGCTTCGGAATAGGAATGCGCTTCTTCGTGATGACGATCTCTTCATCGACGCCTAGGGCGCCGGCATTGTCGCTTTTGTTGTTCTTTCGGTACTGTGGCTGCGTTGGGTTCTCCGTCGATTGAATGGGCTCTTCGGGATTTGTGACATCTTTGAGAATGTCGTCGAGATCATCGTCAGAGTCATGAGCGCGTACTTGCAAGCTACTATCTGCCATTGTGAACCTCTTGAGCCTTTGCGGTAGGTATCGAAGGTATCCTGGGTTCTAAAGTGTTGAGCGCGACGCGTTCGACGCGTTCAGCCACAAGCACAGACACTGCTTGCACTTGCCGCTTGTGGCGCAACTTTAGCTTTGTCCAGGCAAGGGTCCAACTCGACTTTGGAAAGCAACTTCTGTATTCAATCACCGCCTTTTCTACCCAAGTATATATTACAACAACTATCGTCTCGCCGACTCATCCAGTCTACTGCGACTACAGATCCGTGGTCTGGAGCTCCTACTTCGCCAACGTAGTGGTGCTATTCCCTTTGCGCCAACGGGTCGTGAGCTCGTGATCGAAGCCCAACGCGCGCCAAACCTCTTAACATGTCGCCGCCTAACGTGCTTCCCGCCGACGCGGTAGCCCCAAGACTTGACTACTTATTGCGACGTGCCCGTGACGTCAAGCGAAGTACGGCGATTGACCCTCCACTCCAGGTTTCCGAGCTTGTACCGGAGAATGAGCCTCTTCTCGGCGAGATCGAAGGAGGGAAAGAAGTGCGGACGCTCGCTGTCGAGAGTGCAGCTAAGAGTGTTTTCTATGCCAACCTTGTCAGTTGCTACGCTGTCGTCTCAATTCTACCAGTCTGCTCACATGATTAGGGTTCGACTCGGATTGAGGAGCCGGCCTTTGTAACTGTTTGGAATCTACTGGATATCCTGCAGTATTGCGGGGATCGAGGTATGTTACTCGCCAGTATGGCTGCATCTCGACTGACATTCTTAGATCTCTGCTCTCCGCAACTCGTCCTCCTGCTCATTGAAGAGTTGCTTGACAGCCAGTCAATCTCAGGATGTCGTGTGGTATTCAACTTTCTCGAGTCGAGGAGAGAAACCATCATCGCGGTATGTCATCCCTACCAATCTCGTTGCCCTTTCTCACCTCGTTTCAGATCAACTCCAAGAATAAGGACCTTGTTATCTTGAGATTGTGCAATGAGCTGCTCCGCCGGCTATCTCGCGCGGAAGATCCAGTCTTCTGTGGGCGTGTCTATATATTTATGTTCCAGAGCTTCCCCTTGGGCGACAAGAGTTCGGTAAACCTGCGGGGCAACTTCCACGTCGAGAACGTAACGACGTTCGAGGACTTCCTGAAGGAATCAAAACCGGAAGAGGACTCTATGCAGATCGATGTCGACGGGCCTGCTCCTGCTACCAAGGAAGATTCAAAGTCAGAAGAGCCAGCCATCCTGTCTGGCGATGTCGACAAAAGCAAAGATGCGAAACCTACCACACTTGATACCGAGGCTCTCTACCCCGTGTTCTGGTCTTTGCAGCACTCTTTCTCAAATCCACCAAGGCTTTTCGAAGAGGACAATTTCAAGCAATTTCAGAAGAGCTTAGAGGCGACGCTAGCCAAATTCAGGGAGGTGCCAAAAGTCATACAAGCCGGAGATTCAGAGCGAAAGAAGGGACAAAAATCACGGGAAGGCGACGACTACGATGCATTCGCCAACTCCTTTAATCCTAAATATCTCACAAGCCGTGACCTGTTCAAACTTGAGGTACGCAAGATTGCCACTATCAGACCTGCGCTATGACTGACAATTTGCAGCTGAGTGATCTCGCCTTCCAACGTCACATCCTGGTCCAAGCACTGATACTCATCGACTTCCTGTTGACCCTGACCGAGGGGTCCAAGAGCAAGCCGTTCTACCAAAATGCGCAGAAAGCGATGCAGTACAACTTCACACTCCGTGAGGAAGACGTAAGTCCCCATCATTTGCCACATCCTCCTGCCTCAGTCACGCTCCCATGCTCGCTTCGCCATTCACGATCATCATCTTCTCGGCTGACCACAAAGCACAGACCGAGTGGGCATTGGGCATCAAGACCGCCATCGCAAATTACCTGCAGGAAGGCCCAGATGGCAAATTCTACTACCGGATGGTGGATACCGTGCTTTCCCGCGACAAAAACTGGGTACGATGGAAGATGGAGAACTGCCAGCCGTTCACGCGAGATAAAGTGCCCCCAGCAGAATTCCAACAAGCCAAATCTGGGGCACAGAAAGCTGTTGTTGCTAAAAAAGCCTCGAAGCCTATGGGGGTACCTAGTACTTTGAACTTCCTCCACAACAACGATGCAGAGAAGGGACTCTCTCAGCTACGACAACGTGACAGGTATGTGCTCCGCTCGTCCGACTAACATTGATTTCAGCCTCTGACGTCCAGTCAGGTTCAATGTGCCAAATGCAGAGTCATATGCAAAAAAGGTCAAAATGACCGACTTAGACCTGGAAATGACTGACGCAGAGGAGGAGAAGCGGCAAGTGGAGGACAAGAAATCTAGCTATGTCTGGCGAGGCCTTCGTCTTGCTTCAAAGACGCAGCTAAGCTCCTTTGATAGAATTGAGCATGGCAAAGGGCTGGAGGCTCTTCAGCCGGCCACCTCTTCCATTGAGGCGACGGGTGTTGACGCTGCACCCACTACTTCGGATGACCAGGGGGTAATTCCGCAAGACGAGCATCAGAGCGTCGAGGAGCAGCGGCCCGAACAACGCAGTCAAGTGACTACGGAACCAGCGGCGTAGTGGCAGTGACAGGGGCAGGTTGTCGCCTGCACCAGCTAGGTGTGAATTATCGATGGCCCTGAGGGACATACGAGCTTTTCCCCATGGGTTATCGTGCAGTATGGGGAGCATTGTGGCGCTTTCCTATCGAATTTATCTCTGCAAGCGAAGAGAACATGGGGTTCTTCTCCCCGAGCCACTCTCAGCGTATCGATAGATCGGAAGCCATCCACAGTCTGAACGACCGTACATCCGGTCGCCAACGGCGCCCCTCAATTTGCAACGCCACGAGGGGACGTCGGAAGGCTGGGTTGAGGCGCAAGCAGGCTGTGGAGATGAAAGGTTCCACCTTGGTGAATAAAAGTCTTCACAATATAGCATCGCGTGGGCATGTCCACCATTTCCGGGTCTCATTCTGATGTGACAATAACGATCGAGAGAGCTCTGGCTCTCATCCCTGGTAAGCATCGTCATGCTTCCAGGCCTTTGACAGGAAATGTTGTGATCTCAGATGTGCCGTGGTGCGCCGGGGTGGGGCCGTCTTCAGGCTCATTCAGTGTGTTGTCAGCACAAAATCCACCTACGTGGGAGATGCTGCATCCTTCCGAAATGAAGGGACCTGTACTACCTGACACCACCGTTCAGCGCAGTCCGAGGCTTTCCAAGGTTCTCTGCTGTGGTCTGGCACGCGGTGGGACCACCTCATCATGTCATGACAAGTTGCGAACCACAGCAAGGCCACAGGCCCAGACTGCCGGCAACGGATCGTAATCATATTCAATGCATTATGTTCACGAGATGGACCGAAGCATGATGAAAAGAGGCAGGCATGTTCTGCCGACAATGGACAGGCACCCATGCGCTCATCAAACCCACAGACGTGTTGCGTCCCCCACCAATGACCCGCCAGAATATCCGCGGTTTCGCTATCGCTCGCTCCTGTCATTTCCACAGGCCGACCTCATCCGCCATCCGGGCGGTCTTGGCGTTGTTTTGGAAATCGACCGCGACGCCCTGTTCGGCATTGCGTTTTGGAGATTGCGTAGGCGTTGGGAGAAACTGTGCTTTTCTTCGTTGCGAAACATGCCAAACGCTGGCGGTTACCCGCGTGCTTCACAGCCGGACAGCAAAAACAACAACTTCCGGCCAGTTCAGGCAATGCGACCGCGCGAGGCGGACGGTGTACATCATTCGTCAGTCCATAATTCGTCACGGGCTCAGCGCGCGGTATCGGCTAGAGGTTCATCTGCTTTGGACACGGGCAATGTCGATCACTACGGAACGGCGTAGCATGGGTGGCTTGCGCATCGCCCAATTTTTCCCTGCAGTGCGGCCGAAAGACAGTCGTTGCAGCCTCGTCTTCGATGCCATTCGCGCACTCCAGGACAGTTTCAGCGCGCTTGCTTGGACACGCATTTCCAAACACGTTACGATAATTCACCGCTGTCACCCAACTACCGACAGCCCACCAGTGTTGCACGCAGTCGCACTACAGCGAGAACAGGCTTCGAGAAACAGCGCCTTTCAGCATTTTCCCGGCGCGGGCCGAGCTTTTGGCCGTTAGATCGTTGTCAAGCCCAGCCAGATCTGTTGCTCATTGGCGACCCCCGCTGCTATTGGCGACGGCGTCATTGCTAGGCGCTCGACTACTCACCACACTTGATCAAGCAGGTGTGCAGCAGGAACACGCAAGTAGCTAGACGCGGTTCCTTGGTTTCCGGCAAGCATCATGGGTCACGGCTGAAGGTGACCAAGGTTCGTTGTTCATGCATCTGAGCGGGCGCGATGGGCGGCTCAAACCACACGCAAGGCTGATGCAGCGCGTTCCTGACGCATACGCAATTTGCGGACCGTGGCCATTAACATTTGACTTGACAGCTGCCAGAAGACGCACTTGGAAGCTACCGGTCCAGGGCGGAATGGCCCGCCATAGCACAATTTCGTGTGAAAGTCATAGTTCGACGACAGTAGCATCATGGTAGCATGGAGTACACGAGCCTGGCGGCACCAAGTCCGACCTTCACCACCACACCACCATCTCGTCCGCACACAATCCACACTAAAAGCAGCATTGACAGCGACACCCCGCAACAAGCCGTGCAAGCGTTGCCGAGCCCTGTAGCATCCCTGTCCTCTCTCGCTGCGGGTTCCTTGGACTTCCCGCATCGCATCTGGCCAATAATGGCGCCGCCGCCTGCCTCGACGTTCGACTGCGAGACGCCACGGATTAGTCCTTGCTCGTCGGCCATTTTTCTACACGGGCCCTGGTCTATGCATGTAGCCTGCAGCCCACCATGTTCACGCACCGCTCGCTCCCCTTCTCTTTCGAGGGGAGGGCACCCTGGCATGCAGCACACCTGATCCAGAGCCTTTCGATTCGCCCGTTCCCGCTCCGTCTCTCCTTCGTAGTAGGCCCACGTCCCGAGCTACCGTATCCCTGTGCCCT